TGTTTTATAAAGACATTAACAGCAATGTGATAATCAATTTGAATACATCTAAAAGATTTCAAATTAACAGAGGTGTCTGACAAGGCTGCCCTATATCTCCCTTTTTATTTCTTTTAGTCACTGAGTTATTGTCAATCAATATAGTAAATGTAACACCCCCTTCAAACAATAATAGGTGGCAATACTACTCTAGATAATGGACCAGTAGGTTCGACTGCTGGAGCACAGTGAAATTCTTAAATCAAGCTCAGAGGCAAGAGGTTGAACTTAGGAACATGCCGGCTTTTTGTATTAAAGTAAAAAAGAATAAAAATACATACAAAATTACGAACAATGGGACCACTCACACTGATAACACTGGTTGTGTTAAATCACAAAAAAAAAAAGAATATCACATTTGCAATTGCTCAGTTTCACATTAATTATCAAAATCTTAATTCTAAACTGAATTTAAGATTACTTTTGTACAATTCAAGTTTCTCTATCTAAATCAAATTCAATTATATAACATGGCCAAAAGAACAATCAATTTTGCATCCAACCAATACTCTTCAGGAAAATACCCTGCCACTCAGTTCTCAGTTCCACACGATGAAGTCAAGAAGTCAAAAGTCATAAGGGGGAATGTGTGTGTGTGTGTGTGTGTGTGTGTGTGTGTGTGTGTGTGTGTGTTGAGGGGGGCTGAATGTGAGAGTGTTGTGCAGCAGTCGGCCCACCACCCACAAGGTGTGGCAGAATTAGGATACGTTCAAGTACCCACTGGTAGTATCTGGTGATACTGTCTCCCTTTCACTTTTGATCCAGGTGGGAAGGCTCGCCATCAACGTCGCTGGAAGATCCAGATCCAGAGAACAAACAACCAAAGAAACCTGACCTGTCCATAACACAGAAAATATTAAAATCACAGTGTAAGCTTTACACTGCATATAAAATTCAATAAACTAAATTTGCAACAGCGCAGTATAATAGTCAATATGAATAATCCATAATGTAAAATAACTTCCCTTTTTGTAAATAAAATAGCTTCTCACAGCTCACAGTAAGCAAATAGGTGCATAAAATTAGCCCAATGAAGGTACAAATGACAAATTAATACAGAATTTACATGAAAACTAATTTGGAAAGAAATATGAATTTGTCACCGATCTCACGCACTGACACAAAATGGCGGCGCTCAGAAACAACCACACAGTTTCTAAAACCCAAAAAATATAACAAGGGCACAAATACTTAATATAAAACTCATGAATAATTCAGCTCTCGCCATAAATGAATTATAATAAATGAAAAGATCTTTTAGTTTTAGTAATTTACCTCTACAGACAAAGCTAACGGCTATTAGCTCGAGCTACTAGCGCTGCGGCTAGCGACTGTGCTAATGCCCATTTTAACTCTAGTTTTTTCACTAAAACACTAAAACAACAAACGGACTTCCGTAAACAAGTGTAAACCATATGTTTTTGTGTTTTCTTCAGTTTTTGCTTCCGCTCGCTCTCGCTCCTCTCTTCATACAGACCGGAAGTAACGGAGGAATACAGAGCGTATGGAGAGAATTCTGTTCCTTTATTATTCAATCAAATAGAAGAGATTGAAACCAAAAAAGAGATTGAAACCAAAAAAGAGATTTGAAACCAAAAAAGAGATTGAAACCAAAAAAGAGATTGAAACCAAAAAAGAGATTTGAAACCAAAAAAGAGATTTGAGAGCAAAAAAGATTTGAAACCAAAAAAGAGATTGAAACCAAAAAAGAGATTTGAAACCAAAAAGAGATTTGAAACCAAAAAAAGAGATTTGAAACCAAAAAGAGATTTGAAACCAAAAAAAGAGATTTGAAACCAAAAAGAGATTTGAGAGCAAAAAAGAGATTTGAGACCAAAAAGAGATTTGAAACCAAAAAGATTTGAGACCAAAAAGAGATTTGAGGACCAAAAAGAGATTTGAGACCAAAAGAGAGTAAAAAAAAATGTTTTGAGATGGAAACAGAACAGGTTGCAATTGGAAAAAAAAATATGAGAGAACATATTTCTTCAACTTCAATCAAAACTAATGTTTGTAAGTAAAAACATACGACCATTTTGCGTCCTCTTTGCTTGAGAGTTATAAAGTTTTGTTTGCGAATTCAGCTGCACTTGATGGGCGGGGCCTACGCTGGTGGACGAGAGAAGAGTTTCTATTGGTTGGTTTGACCTGGCTACGTCTTCCACCCACTTCTCCCTGTGCTGTGCTGCTTGGAGAAGCCTGTTGCTCTTGAAACGTTTCCCATAAGTAATGAATTGCGCTATATATCGTTGGCTACAGCCTGCCGTACATTCACAACAACAACAACAACAACAACAACACAAGCAATGAATTATAAGGCTGGGCTAGTCACGGCCTGAGCAGAGTAGCCTAATGAGTGAGTGAATTACAGGGAGGCGTATTCAACGTAGGGCTGTGATTGAAACCTTTAGTGTTGCATGGTACCCGGCTCCCGTTCTCTACAGCTGTTCTAATGTCAACAAACACACGTGGCGAATAATTTAACAAATTCACGCACATATTTCTAACCAGCCAGCCTTTTGTCCACAATTTCTCCCCCCACAAGGCTTTCCTCTGGAATAATAGCAATATTCTTATAAGAAACAAATCCTTATTCTTGCTACAATGGTTTGAAAGAGGTATCATCCATATCCTCGATCTTTTTGATAATGCTGGTAATATGTTGTCTTATGAACGTTTTATGTCTGTACACAGTTTTCCTGTTCCCTCCAGAGAATTTATATCTGTAACTCGTGCTATCCCAACAGAGTTAATTTGAGTTACAGTGAATATAAACCAAGTCAACCTGTACTGATGCTGAGTGGAATTGAACTAACAGATAGAAAGTGTAATAATAAACATATTCGCCAGTGTTTTCAAAGAATGAATAGAGTTGTGCCTAGAGGCAAGTTTTACTGGAGGTCCCAAATAGAGGACATCAACTGGAGAAGAGCTTCTACCCCACAAATATTGCATATCTAACAAGGCTAAAGAAGTACATTTTAAAATACTGCATAATATATACCCAGTTGGTAGTATTATTGCTAAGTTTATAGATGTTGATGATTCCTGTACTTTTTGCAATCTTAATACAGAAACAATTTCACATCTGTTTTTTTATTGTGATATATCTTAAAAGTTTTGGAGTGATGTTGAATCTCATTTTTTTGATGCTGCTAACTCTGTCTACTCTCTTACCCTTAAAGATGTTATTTGCTACTATGTTAACCCAGAAGATAATGCTCTTGAACACCTGATGAACTTTGTTATCCTATATGCACAATTCTTTATTCACAAACAAAAATTTGCAAAATCACTATTTACCTAAATTTGCTCCTTTTCTCCCGTGGGATTTCACTTGTTGCAGGGAAACGCAGAAGAAGAAATTGTTGCAGGAAGTGTGCACATCGGAGAGTAGTGTGTGAAGACATGGACATTTTTGAGGGGGAAATAAACTTTTTTTCGTTGCAAAGGCATTATCTCCGTGATGGATTATTCTGGGCTTTCGGTGAAGCGAGCGGTGGAAAAACAGGTTGTACGGTTTCTGCACAACGTATGAGTTGAAAAGGCATGTTGTTGTCACGTAAGACATTTTAATGCATTTTGTGTCTGTTAAGAGGAGCAAAAGGGCACTCTTTAGGATATGCCCCCAAAAAGTGTATTATAACTAACTGGGAGCTCTGGCCATTAGCTGCAGCATCTCCAGTTTGCTAGAACCAATTTTTCCTTTTTCCTATCGACAGTACTCGGTGACCTATAGTGATCAAGACGAGGGTAAAAATCTGCCGAAGTTCCCCTTTAAATAACAAAAAAGTAATACCTTGCTGAGTCATTATTAAAAGTTTTTCTCTGAAGCCCCTGTTTGAACTATTTATTTTTTATTTATTTATTCATTTTAATTATTATTATTATTTTTTTAAATTTGTACTTTAATTTGTGTATCTTTGATTTATTATTTATGTCACTCACCAATGTGCTGATTGTCATTGTATACCTTGTAGTTTTGGACATTTAATTTGTTCAATTAAAAAAAAAAAAAAAAAAAAAAAAAATAAATATATATATATATATATATATATAATATGAATTAGTATTAATATAATTATTAATAATAGTAGTAGTAGTAGTAGTATTGGTATTATTATTTTTAGTAGTAGTAGAAGTATTGGTATTATTATTATTATTATTGATATGTAATTCTTGGTGTTGTTGATTGTTTTATTTTATTTTATTCTCGTATTTTAACTGTGTTTTGTTTGGTTACTTATGTTTATACTTTGTTCTTTCTTTGTTTTTATCTTATTTATTTTGTCACAGCACTTTGTAACCTTGTTAAGATCATTTCTATATAAAGAATAGTAAAAGTACTGATTCAACTTCTTTTACGCAAGTAAAAGAAAATAAAGTACAGGCTCTGAAATGTTCTCATAGTAATAACAGGAAAAAGTTCTCTCTTAGTTTCTCTGGAGGAAATTTAGCAACAGTTTGAGTTAAAACCTCAAATAGGATCTGTCAGTTGTCTGTTTCGTCTTGTTACGTTGTTTTGTTACATCTGTCGTGTGTGATTTGCAGCAGTCTTGATTTTTGGAAGGCGTGCAATGATGCCAAATAATAATATAATAATAATCGTGTTCCATCAAATTAATAGAAAACATTTAATCTCCTAAAACATTGGGACGAGGGAGACTGTCAGTTTATTATTAATCTTTAGCTGCAACCACTATATTAGAGACATGAAACATTTACACAGAGACAATGAAGTAAAAATCTACATTAAAATAAATTAATATTATCTGACACTACCAACGGTCTCAGATGTGACCAAAAACTAAATAAATGAATCAGACACAATAAAAAGTTTTGTTTTTATTTTATTTTAAAGCAATTTACTTTTGTCTCATTTATAAAAAGGCTCTTCAGTAATTTATGCCAGTATGTAGTATAAAGTATTCTTATATAAACAATGATCAGACAATATAAAGGTTTGAATTTGTCACTCAGACATTTAAAGAATGTGTAAATGCTTCTTATTCCTGAGTACATTGTTTTCTGATGATTTTACAGTTTTGAAGGCAGATAATGCAGTTATTAGAATAAAGTAGGCTACAATATGATATCAATACATTTACATGATAAAAGGAAAAACTATATATATTCCGTACATCACCAATAAATATACATTTATTCATTAAATGATGTGAATCTTTCTGAAGAGAATCAAATGGTTGTTCTACTCAGTGTGATTGACAGGAGAGATGATCAGAGGGGCAGAGTTTTTACCACCATAATTAATACTGGGACCAAAGTATGGGTAGAGTTTCTCAGTGAAGGAGCAGCCAGTAAAGGAGTAGATAAGAGCTGCAGCATCAACATCATAAAAGGAGACCAGACCCTCCTCATAATCTACAAACACCCCCACCTTCTCAGGCTGAGACTGCAGAGAGAGACGAACTGAAGGGCCAGCAAGAGCTTTGTAATCATTTTTATTCCTCAACCATATCGTCCAGTAACCATTCTGAGGTCTCAGTGAGATTATTCCCTTCCTGTTGATCGACTCTCTGGCCACTCCTAAATCCCATTCAGTCTTCCCTTTAACCTGAACCTCGTAATAAAATCTTCCTTTAGAGAAACTCTGCTTTGCTAAGACATTAGTAAAACGATTAAATCTCTCTGGATTGTCTGGGAGATTCTTCTTTACATCACCACAGTAAACTTGTTTTCCATCATCAGACAGGATGAGTTTGGGATATGCTGTATCAGGATCCAGTGTCACATCCACTGCATACTGCTGAACCCTCTTCAGCTCGACCTCAAACAGCTTCTTCATCTGTTTACTGAGCGTCTCCTCCAGCTGATTCACAGCTCTCCTCACAGTCCCCTCATATGAAGGTGGATGGACACTGACTTCTGTCCAGTCTTTGGTGGTTGGAGCAGCGGTCAGGGACAGGAAGCTTTGGAGGAGGTGGAGGTGGTCTTCAGACTGTGAGAGCTGGTCCACCTCAGAGCTTCTCTTCTTCAGCTCAGAGATTTCCTGTTCCAGCTCTTTGATGAAGTCTTCAGCCTGTTTCTCTGTCTTTCTCTGCTTCTCTTTGATTGTGTCGATGAGTTTGACCTGGCTTCTCTCAACAGACTCCTTCAGAGCAGTGAAGACCTGAACACCATCTGCTATCTCTCTGTCTGCACCTTCCTTACTGAGCTCCACTGAATGTTTGATCTCCTGAATCTTCAGTCGTCTCTTCTGGATCATCTGCTGAATTTCAGCCTCTGTCTTCCCCAGCTCGGCCTTCTTTCCTTCATATTCTTCTTTCAGAGGAACAACATCATGTGTCTTGTGGTCTAAAACAGTGCAGAGCATGCAGACACACATCTGCTCGGTCTTACAGAACAGCTCCAGCAGTTTATCGTGCTTCGTACACATCCTGCCTTCCAGGTTCTCCACAGGGTTGATCAGCTGATGTCTTTGCAGACGTGAAGCTGTCAGATGAGGCTCCAGGTGAGTCTCACAGTAGGAGGCCAGACACACCAGGCAGGACTTCAGGGCCTTCAGTTTGGTTCCAGTGCAGACGTCACAGGGAACTTCTCCTGGTTTGGAAACTTGTTGCTCTGAGCTGCTGCTGCTGGCTTTCTGTTGAGCTGACTGTCTGAACTGAGCAGCCATCTCAGAGATGAAAGTATTGACCTTCAGCTCAGGTCTTGTGTTGAAAACCTTTTTACAGTTGGGACACTGACACTGGACATTAATATTCCAGTGTTCAGTGATGCAGGTTTTACAGAAGTTGTGTCCACATGGTATGGTGACTGGATCAGTGAACACATCCAGACAGATGGAGCACAGAAACTGATCCTCAGTCAGCAGACAGCTGGCAGCAAACATATCTACACTGTGAGGATAAAAAGAAAAGAAAACTGTAATTACATTTCTTTTGATTATAATAAAATTAATTAATTATGATTATTGCAACATAAGGAGTCTCTTCCTGAATTCTGTTATTATACTGAAACCAATTAAGGGCCATATTGATTATTGACTAAAAAAATCGCACAACATGAGACATGAGCTGCGATTGTTGATGAGTTTGCAGTTTCAATCTGTTTGTATTCAGTGTCTGATTTACTGAGATTGCTCATTACACAGTCAGGTCCTGGACTCTGCTGCCAGTGTAGAACAGCTTAGATGTGCAGTTCAGTGGTGGTATGAGTTCACCAAGCTCAGAAAAGTGATAACATGGTGATTCTAAAATATTTACTCCATTACTGTCACATCACACATTAAATAATATATATATGTGAAGGTTTGAGGTTTAAAGTAACTATATACACACCGATCATAACTGCTCTGCACTGTGTGTTCTGACCCCTTTCTATCAGAACCAGCATGAACTGTTTCAGCAGTTTGAGCTACAGTAGCTCGTCTGTTGGATCGGACCACACGGGCCAGCCTTCACTCCCCACCTGCATCAATGAGCCTTGGCCGCCCATGACCCTGTGTCTGGTTCTTTTCATTGTTATTCACGTCACCTGTCAGTGCTCACAATGTTACGGATGATCGGTGTACACTATTTTAGTTTATCTATATTTATCTTTCCATCTTAATTTTATTTTTAAGCTGTCTTGTATTTAAAAAAACTGTACAGCACCTCAAATATACCATTGTCTATGAAATGTGCTTTATAAATAAACTGCTTATATTTTATTAAAGTGGAAATATTTTCAAACTAGGTCCAAATTTAATATTAAACTCAACACACTTTTTTACATTTTCTGTGATTTATTTAGACAGTAAGACCTTCAGTGTGACCTTTTCCTGTCTGAGTAGAGCTCAGGTTTTGTGTTAATACCGGTTGTTGAAACACAGTAAATATTATCAGCTGTACTGCCTCCCAGAGACAGACAGCAGGAAGCTATAAGCTGTAACACTAGCAGGTTTATGTGTGTTGTAAAGTCAGTTTTATTCCTTTATAAGCAATAACAGAGGTTGTCAGATGATCACATACTCTACTCTGTACTTTGGATCTAAAGGACAGCTAATAGGCTAGTTAGCTTTCAGCAGGACTAGTTTCTGTGGTGTGTTTTCATTGTTTGGTTGGATTTAGCTCCTTCCTTCTATCTGTATGTGCTATAACAGACTGTAACAAGCTCTGTAGGGCAGTGGACTCACCAGAGGTTGGCAGAGATTCTGCTGTTTAGTTGAGAAAAACCTGATGGATTCAGTTGAATTTGTCTTCAGAGACAAACAGAGAGACTTGTCTCCACTGCAGCTCTGCTGTCTTCAGACAAACTTTCACTTTCATTTCCAGGAAATGTGTCACTGAAGCTCTTTCAGTGTTGCTCCTCCTCTCAGTGCAGATCTGTGAGTGAGCTGTTATTGACTGATTGGGAAATATCTTTGGAACAAGGTCTAGGTTTTCACAATGTGAGTCTACAGCAGCCAAAGGATCATACAATAACAAACAGACAACATAAGAAAAAGAGGTCAGTGTAAGATATTCAGAATACTGTATCTTTAGATCAATATTCTACAACGCTCCCTTTACAGTCCCTCTACAATCCCACAAACACTCCAATGTTCAGCTCACTGTTTACTCTGTAATTTCACTTTCTGCTGCTTTCCAAACTGTTTACCATCTTTTCTTTATGTGACAGATTTCTTACTGATCACATTACAGGAAAAAATACAGAAACACTGAGAGAGGAAAACTTTTGTCACTGG